AACTTTCACGTCTTAATCCGCTTTATTATCCTTGGTTATAAACCATCAAACAAACCTGTTATTATTATTATCATAAATGAATTTTCTTATTTTCATGTTGATGTTTGTACGTATGTTGATGTATATAAATCATTTTAACTAAATGGCAAAAATTTGCTCAAAGTAAATGTATTGTCAAACAAAAGAAGAGTAGATTCGTTTGGGATGAACAGAAAAAAGAATGGGGTCGTCATTATGGTTATAAAAAAGCAAATGATGAATCAAAAGTATGGCTTATAGAAGTACCAACCAGTGCTGGTTTGTTACAAAATAATTTTTTTAATTTATTTTCTATGTATTCATTCCTTTAGATCCAAATGAAGATCAATTTGCTAAAAAATCAGCAGCGAAAAATGAATTTCAACGCCTTAAAAATATTGCCCATGCAAACAAAATAAACGGTACATAAAAAATGTGTACTTGTTTTAAATTTCAATGAAATACGTCTGAAATTTAACTTTAGTCTTAATCATACAACTAATTTCTCTAGGTGTCTAGACAGTTGTAGCTATACAATTTTTATGCCACTTTACTTTCGTAATGATAACACTACATTATTATTCGAATAATGTCTGATAAATTTTTTAAATTATTTTACCTAACTAGCAACATCTTTTTCTACATTCTTTGGAAGTATTTGAAAAAAAAGTGAGGCGTAATAAAATAATACAGTATTTTGTAGAATAATGCAATAGGTTATTTCGATATTTTTGAACTGATACGATGAATCTAATTTTATTCTCAAATATAAATTATAGTTTGATAATTATTAATATCTCATCTCATATGATTTTGCTCCTTTATAATTAATAATAATGGTTCATTAAAATATATTTTACCTGTATGTATATATTATCTGGAAAATATTCAATCTCAATAGCAATTGACTAAAAATAACCAGTGAAATGTATCATTGTAGAGAAGTAGTACAATATTTAATCATGCCTGTCTCTGTATCTTTGTGAAAGGAGAAGGATAGATTACAAAAGAATATTTTTCTAGTTTCAGCTGATATTCAGCCTAGCCAAGTAATGTAAGGAGATGAGGTAGAAGATGAACAAAATTGGTTGTTTTATTCAGACGAAAAACGTGTATATATCGCTGAAATGGGTAAAGGGAAGAATTCGTCGAGACATTTCTTCTCTTTATTAAGCTTATGATGAAAGAATAACAATGGATCGAGGTCCGAAAGGTCACACAGGAACATAAGTATCCGATGTATAGAAGAGAAGCAAGATACATACGAGAGAGCAAGATATGACTATATAACAAACCTTGAAAAGTTATAGTTGAATAGAATATTATTCAGATAAATTCACTATATATTTATTACGAAAATTTTATATCATTTTAGAATTAATTTTTTTCAAGTAATTGATTAATTTTTTTTAGATAATTTACCAATGGCAAACAATGATTCTTCATATGCTTCATCAATGTCATCTTATTCAAACAATCATGCAAAACTAAATATTGCACTTGATAAAAGCTTGTCAATCATAGAAAAAAGCTTCTCATTTGATCCAAAGAAAATTTTTAACAAAAGAATAATCAGATGGTTAAATCATCAAATGGACATTCGACTCTTGGATGGAGCGGCGCTGTCGCTATACTTACTCACAATGACTGGCCACCTTTCATCAAAGATATATGTCTTTAGAAACAACCGTGAACAAATTCCTAATAATCTTTATAGTTTCTTAGTGTGTGGTTCGGGTATGTATATCATAATACTTTTTTAACTAATATTTATGAAATTTATTTTCCAATAGCATTTGGTAAAAGTGCATTTTACCGTTTGTTTTTGAACGCTATTGGTAAATGTTCTCTATCTGATGAAACACATTTTGATACTTCATTTGATGATCAAAGTTCGTCAACCGATACCATTGATACAAGACATCTCATCAATGAAGTAAATTATATTCATTATGAGCTAAGAATTTGTGACGATAAAAAGAATTATTTTTGACAGTTTTGAATCTCGAAGTGACTATATGCTTGTAGAAGAATGTTTTTAGAAATCCTATGTGATGCTTCATGTTTATGTGTATTTCAGTATGTTCGACAATAGAATATTTTACAATAGTCTGAAAAATATTTCAATGGATAAAATATTTAGAATATTTCACTTAGCTATTTATCCTTTATCAAATAAAGTTCTAAAATAGATCGACTTAAACAATTTCAAAAATTATTAATAACAATCTATAAAATCAAATAATGTCTTTGTCAATTTGTTTTTTTATTAATATTGCTTTAAACTCTTTATAGATGTCACGTGGTGGCTTATTAACAGAACTAAGTGAAAACAATAAAATATTATTGCTTGACGAAGCAGATGGTTGTTTGAAAAGAAATGGTCTTATTCCGGATGCATCCATAAGCGAACACAACAACGTTTATGAATTAATTCTCACATTATATTCTGGCAAGACAACCGTCACCAAAAGTCTGACAAATTCAAGAAAAAGTCTTTTCTTACAGAAGCTAAATATATTAGCTAATACAACAGAAGAACCAATTATAAGGTTATTAAAAAGAAAACGTAGTGGCGATGTTTCCAATCCATTTGCTGAACGTTCCTTATTCCTTTTTGTATCAACACCACTGACTCTCGAACAGCCATTTCCACCCGTATGGAATTATGAATCTGAACCCACCATCGAACAGATTGCTGTCACATGTAGTTTATTGAAAAACTTGCATTTTTATTATGGTACAACTGCTCGTTTGATGACAATCAGTTATGGTAACTTATTGTGTAAATTAAGTAAGTTAATTTAACAGCAGTTTTCTAGCTTCTAGTTAAAAGTAGAAGTTCAAAACATTTGAACTATTCAAATACTTAATATTTTTTAACAGCATTGATCATGAAGCATTCTAAATTAAAAACTATTATTAATTAATATTATCCTTCAATTATATATAGTACAATAGATCTAAACTAGTCAAAAGTATTGAATTACATGAGAACGAATTATAATTAGCATTTTTTCACAAAACGATAATAGTGAGAAAGATAAACATTTTTTCCATAAATGTATTGCAGTTGCTTTCTATCGATAGATTAAGTTATAACTGAACCGTTTTTGAAAGTTTATTTTTATTATGATTATTCGGAACTACATTTACTTTTTGAGCTGCTTTTGATAATGCTAAAACTAATTCTAGATTGTGCTTATATATAAATTGTAACTGATTGTTTTTCTTCATTTTTATAGTGATCAAAAATGAAAAAATCGACAAATGGTTAACTGCTCGCTTGGGAAAATCTCGCGAACATATTCATCGAATTGCTGTAAATTTACAATTAATCCATTTAACATTTGATTTAATTGATCAATATAAATCTGAATTTGGAAGTTTGAAAGAAGAATCTGGTTTATCTATTTTTAAACAACGAATGGAACAAATAGTAAAAAACTTTCTCGGTAGAGAAAATGAAAAAATCACAGTTAAACTTGAAATTCGTTTGTCAGTTGCAAATTCAGCAGTGAGAATGCTGAACATTTTATTACATCAATATTTATGTATATTTTGTGGAAAAAATATTATTCTGTAAGTATGTTGTATTAATTCTTACTAATATTCGACAATAAAGATGTTTTAACGTTTATTTAGAGTTAGAAGATCAAACGATCAAGAGTTTAGTAAAAGTTGGAAAATAAAGCTAAAAGTTTAATAAGATATTTACCGACCGACAATATCGATTGTTTAGTTATTATGAGAAAACTAAATGTTTGATTAGTACTTCATTTGTATTAAGTTAGATATAATAACGGTTAATCAACTATAGATAAATAAAAAGAAGATAAAAATAAAATCGTATTTATAAACCTCGAATTTTTAACTTTTTTTATATATACGTTTCTGTTGGGATTATTGAACCGTCATAGCAACAGGGAGTAAAACTATTAAATAATCATAAAATGGTAATTAAATATCTTGTAAGTTGATTCAGTTCCGCAGAAACAGCGTTTTTATAATTCCTATAAAGAACAAGATCAGTATAATATTTTTGTTGTTAATATAAGTTGATAATAAACAAAAAACTCTATATTAAATTAACTGTTCTATTATTGTTTAGAGATGCTGGTGGACTTGAAACAACTAAACATACCATTTGTAGTTCAACTGAAGAAATTACAACAGCGACAATATTAGCTGCATATGAAGAATTAACACCACATGAAAAATCAATTTATGATTTGGCGAGAGCAATTTTATTACATAATGAAATTGCTTTCACGAAAACAACACTTAGTCGTTGTATTCCACTATGGAAACGAAGTACTAATTATCATGAAGCTGCTATTGAATTATTGACAAACAAAAATCTTATTATTAATTTTGAAAAAGCAGCAAAACAATCAACGACAGGACGATCTTTACATATATTACTTAAATGTGTGCCTAAGTCATATGATTCAAATCATATAGAAGAATTTCAACAATTACTTATCGAATTCAATATTGGCTGGGAATCATTTAAACGGACATTATGTCGTCTTCAGCCTCCTGTTGGTGTCATTATTAGTGCTGCACTAGCTGGTATATTGAAGAATCCACAGTATCAACTTTTCATCAATTTTGATGTTGATGCTTTAACAAAAGTTTCATTAGATAATGTTTCTGATCAACTAGTGATGTCATCTGAAGATTCATCATCAAGTGTTTTAAATATTCCACAATCAAATTCTACTACTACAACACCTTCTATTGCATCAATTTCGATTATTTTACCAACAACAAGTGTTGTAAGTGATGTTCCTATTCAGCTAGCTGAAACTACCACTAGTTTTCAGCTGCCTCGTCCAAAAAATGTAACTGCAAAGCGAACTAAACAAACTATGGTAAACAAAGCTTATATAGATAAAAACTCGTAATTTAAAGATTAAAATCTTAAAAATGATATTTAAACATAAATATCAACTTGTACAAATTTATCTTTCTTCTCTTATTTTATTTATTATATTTATGTTGTTTGTGTATATTTTTTTTATCTTGTTTTGTCTGAAAAACATTCTTTTCTATTCATTTCTCGGTGAAAAGTGAGGTACTATAATATGAGTACTAAATTGATACACATTAATATTACAACTTAAAATATTATTGTTCTTTGTTTTTTTGAGTATTATACATTTCTATGTTGTTAAATCAAAGATATTCTACATGTCTATATTTTGTTTTCTAGATTCTTAACAAGTCTCAAACAAAAGATTCGCTATGGCAAACGAATTCGCATTTGACTACTTATCGATCACTCAACAACATATTGGCAATTTAAATGAAATCTCCAAAACTTTACCTATTTCACATATGAGTCTTATTCAAGAATTATCAGCTGTGTTAGTTCCATACACTTCTGGAAAATTTCAATTACTTTCTGATCTTCTGAAAAAAAAATTAAATATCGACATTAATGCTGAAAAATTACAATTTATTATATCGCTTATTAGATCTGATGTATTACCAAGTTTTTCAACAGGTCTAAGTGCTAAGGAATTAATTGTCGAACATTCACTTTTAAATAAATTACCATTTTTCACGCCTTATCAACTTATTCCATTTACAGATATATGTCCAATTTGTAACAAGAAACTTGATCGTAATTTAGCTGCAGAACAACTTGTAAAATTATATTTACACAATCATCGGATTGTACCAGCTGTCGTTTATACACTAACATGCACTCATTCTAGAACAGATCAAAACAAATGTGATAGTACATTAATTACACCAAACTATATCCGACACAACAATGAACGAATTTTTACGTACGAATCATTTAACAGCTCCAAATACCTATATTTTGGAGGGAAGTATACTTTCGATAGAAACATATTTATCCAATTCATGGCAGATTGGATATGTCAAAGTACTACGTTTCAAGGTTTCCTTAAATCCTACAATCTTCAACATATACAAAAGTATAATGATAATTTCGAATTAGAATTTATTCTTTTTACACGAACTACAGTATGCTTTGGACTAATACACTTCATGTTTTTCATGGGATTACCCGAAGTAGTTTTTCCCAAAAGATGTAGCGAACAACAAATGGATATGTTTTTTGAACTAATCGAGCCGTATGTACATCATCTAATGGCTAACTTTTGGTTACAACACAAGGTAATCAAATCTTGTGGTACACACTGTTCGTGTGCATTGATTGGTGATGGTAATTATAATATTCGTCGACCACTATGTGTTTTTAACCAAAAGGTAATTTTCAGTGTTAAGAAGTCGTATTAAGAAAGAATAATTTTCATTGAAAACTGAAAGCATCGCAATTGTTGTGATACGGTCATAATGTAGAAGGTTTAACTAGCAATGTTCTATGATAAAATAAACAATCGAATGTAGTACTCAGGAATTTGATATAAGAACTTTAAAAAATAATTATTCTCATTTATTGTGAAAGAGAAGAAGTTGATATATAGACTTTTATTCTTTCAAAAAAAATAAAATTCGAATTGTTATATTAATATGTAGTCTGATAAAAAATAAGACCAATATTCTTTCAAAGAATTTTTTTAATGTTTTTGGATGCATTTGTAGGTTGTCCAAACACCTGAGTTCAACTCAATGAATGTTGGCTGTCGAAATTCTCCACAATATCGTGATATTTACTGTGAAGAACATCAAGATATGGAAGAAGAAGTGGAAAATAACTCATGTACAACATTTTACTCAAGTGAATCGTTCCATGAACAATATAATCAATTAAGAAATGGGAAAAAAATGTACTATGATTCACTTTCATGTAAAACAAGAAAAAGTAAACCAGGTGCTTACATTTCGAAAACATTTCGAACATTAGGTGTAGTTACGTGGACTCTTAATTGTAATATAATTGTTTCGTCAACCGAACTTGTTAGAAGTGAAAGTATAAAAGAGATAATTAATGGTCTTTGCCAATTAGTTCGATTTAGCCAAACAGGTGTAGACGAAAATAATGCAGCTATTTGCTTTGTTCCTCGTAATATTGTTTATGATGACGGTTGTCATCTTTTAAAAGCAATCATTGATCATTATGGAACAAATATTCATCGAAATCCTGCTACAACTTTCCTTTTTAACAATTGCAAATTTTCCATTGATCGTTTGCACTATCCCAATCATAGAAGTGCATGGTGCAAAGAGAATTTAAATCCTGATCGTAATCCAGATCTTACTGGAATCAATACCGGTGCATGTGAACAAACATTTTCTTGGTTCAACAAGTTTGCTAAATCTTTCTCATGTATGCGCTCTGAACGTTGTCAATTAATTATTCATCTGATGTTTCATTATTGGAATTGTCGTCATGTTGGTCTTAATCCTTATCATAAGGATATTGGACGTCGTTTACTTCCAGTAAATAATAACTATCTTTCTTATTATAAATATTTCATTTCTCAATTTTAGAATAAAAATTTATTTTGAACATGTCTACATCTTAATCAAAAGTATCTACTTATAAACGTGAGTAATATATTTTTATAATTATTTTAAACGAATGCCTTTAATTTTTTATTCAAAGAACTTTTGTCTTCTTGGTATATCTATATATTGTATATGGTAGATTAATACCCCAATGTTTAGAATAATTAATGTGAACGTATTTTATTCTTATTTTACATATGAATGTTAGCGTTAGTCTCATTTATTTTTTTGTATTATGTGGTATACTGTCTGAATAGATGTGCATTTGTATAGTTAAAGCTAAGATAAAAAATAAATAATTTCTGTTCTAGATTAATATAGCTACAAGATGTCTAAACAAGTACGACAACAAAAGTGTACTGCAAAAGAACGTCCAAAAAGAAAGCCTAAACCATATACATCGAATGTATGTCTCTACTTACAACTAACATTAAAACATATTTGTTTTGCTTTCAGGATGCTTTCAGTGAACAGCATGTGGTTATTGCCAAATCTTCTATATCAATCGACTGTGCGACTGGTTCGGTAGCTATTAATTATTTATTCATTTTAAATATATCACGATAATATTTCTTTTTAAAGACATCAACGGAACCATCTTCGATTTTATTAAATGAAAATGAATCATCCATCTACAATCAGCCAGACAAAGACAATGGATTGGAAGATCATGCCTGTCAAATCGAGGATATAGTATGTGTTAATATTAAACGTTTTTTACAGAAAATTTATTCAAATGGCATAGTTCGATTTTTAACTAGATGTAAGTCTAGAATACTGTATACAAAACGATTTAAAACATGATACTGATAATTGACTCAATCATTTTTAATAAAAATTCATATTAAAAACTAGCAATAAATGATTTACTTTTTAATTATATATATGACTACAAAGTTATCAAATTATTGTTCTAAAGTTGTAGATGCAGTAACGTATCCAGGGGCGACCAATTACTGACTAATCCAAAAATTCCTAGATACATCACTGTGCAGATGAAATTAATTCTATACAGCCTATAAAATATTTTGCTATCCCAATGTTAATCAAATTAACATTAGAAGCTTAAATGATAATTCAGTATTATTCCTGACGTATCTTTAGTTTAATTAATTTCAGTGATATCTTCTAGGAGGATGTAGAAGCACAACTCTAACTAAATCTGCTTGGTTATTTGATTATTTTCTCTATTTATCATTTACAGACTAATTGTGTCGAATTTCTTTAGCGAATTTGTCTTTAAATATTTTAATTGAAAAAGGACACTTTTATGTCGAGCATATCTTAAATTTATAGGTTTTATGTGTAATTTATTTTATTTATTTTTCCTGATGCGTGCAACTTTTTGTAGTTAGTCTAAATTTGATAAAAAAATCAATATTACTTTGTAGTTGCATATAGATGAGATCAAATTAATAAATCAAAAAGTATTTTGATATAGTGCTGAAATCACATAAAAGCAGATGAAAACAAGCGTAATGGTAGTTCAGCATTGTGCTATAGTACTGAAAATATGAACGATCATAAATTGAAATATGAATTATACTTTAACCAATAAACATACTTAAGTGTAAGGTTTAATCAGGCATTGTTAATAATATTCACAGATTTTCATAGAGTAGTATCTATTTTTCTATTTCTTGAAATAGCGTACAAAAATTGAGACGTATAAATCAATAGTACGAATATTAAATAATTAAAAATATTATACAATTTGACAACTGAAGACATTGCTTTTATTGACTTTATTGCTCGACTCCTTTTATTAGAAGAAGTGAATACATACTTGATCAATTAGTCAAATTCTTTTCTTTTCATCTATTGTTATCGGTATGCACTGATAATCGTACGTGTATTTTATTTTCATCAGAATAATAATTAATTCTTCAACTTCGTGACATAGATTGAATTTTAGAGCTTATTCTATCAATTTTTCACCTTCTTTAACATCTTTTTATCAAATAATGCTATGCATCTCTATTTCTATATCAACAAACCATCTGCATCAAAAATAAATGTTACAATAATATACATTTAGGAAAATACAACTGAAGAAAAACATGATGAAGAATTGTTCACACAAACAGGAACTCAAAATACCTACTACAGTGAATCTGTAAGTTATATTTATTTTACTAACTACCGAACGTATCTGCATCTAAGGTATTCTTTTTTACTAGGATGATAGCGATGCTCATCAAGAACAATTATATGAATTAGAAGACGTTGAAGACGATAGTGATTCGAACTCTTCTGCTCCAATTTTGGCGTCACAAACAATTATACCAAATCAATCACCTCTATATTCAGATGATTCAAGAACATCTACCAATTCACATTTACCTAGTGACAATATATCCAAGCGTTTATCAACAACTCAACAGGTTTTGTGGGAGAAGCTTCGAAATATTACATGTATTGATGAATTTGAAAAACAGCTTCAAAGTGAAGACGAAGAAGACGACAATAGTATTGATCGACGATCTACGCGAATCTTCAACGGACTCTTGTTTCATTAAAATATTGTAAAGAAAAAATATTCTTCATAGTGTATGTGTACATACTTAAAAAAATTATACTTCTATTCTAAAAAGAGTGTCAATAAAGCTAGACAATAATGAAACTCACCAATAGTACTGTCGCTGATAAAACTGATTTAACCATGCTGTTATGTAAGATTACACAATACGACATTTTTTTCGCCATTAATTCCATAAAATTTCACGCCGAAAGCTTTCAAACCTACCACTGTATTGAAAAAGTCTTCGCATGTACATATCAGCAATTCAAATAAATAAATCGTAACTAAATAATCGTTCTGATAGTAAGACATCTACAAAATCTGGTACGATTATCGTTTCCCACTCAACATCACCTACATAATCTTTAACCTCAACGATTAGATCGAATATCCAGAATGATGTCGATACTGATGTCGATACCAATAAACCCCAAATTGAAGCTTCACCAAAAACAGTGGCTAACAATTTCTTATATACTGCTGCACAAGAAAACTACCACATAGCTTGAAAATCGAAAACGCTTTCAATCAGAGCATAACGTAACGACAACAGTAGACACATTCGTGATAGAGCGTACAAAGTGTGCGTACGGACGAGAAGCTCTATAGCTTGACATAAACACGGCGAATATCGACATCCATTAAAACAAACTTCAGATCTTCAAGCAACCTAGCGTCGCGCTAAAAGTAAAACAGGAATCCTCATCAATGGCCATACCACCAACATACTTAAAATCACGAAACACATTCACCCCCACAACATAAAACTAACAAAAAACTATACTGCGCTATTCAATCCATAAAAATATCAAAAAAGTCTTAAATTTCTAAAACTGCTACAATTTCTTAAATTCCCAGTTTTCTCGAAACTACTAGAGTTTCTTCCAATCTCGAGAATCCATAAATTGCTAAAACTTCCTGAAATTCTTAAATTTCCAAAAATTCTCAAAAACTCTATTCCGCAACTAAATCTATGATATTACCTTCAAAGTCTTCAACTTCTAACACTAGTACCATTTCTTGAATTCCCGGAGATCTCCCAGTTAACACCATTCCTTCTACTCTCAAAAATCAATGGAATACCCAAATATCTTGATATTCTCCAATTTTCAAAATTGCACCAAACTTTTCGAAATTCCAAAACATCAAAACCACTTAGTCCTTATAATACCACGAATAAAGATATTTATTTTTTTATATAACCAATAATAACAACGATCACCATCGTACTTAACTTTCTTATTATTTTCCTCTAACTCTATATAATATAACTTTGTTTTATTTTTTTTATTTTTGAA